GAGAGAGAGAGAGAGAGAGAGAGAGAGAGAACACTGATAACAACTAAGGCATTCCCTGATTGAATCTGGCTGTAATTGCTGTCCGATGCATTTTAAAGATCAATGACATGTCATTGAATGCGAGTACCGGCTTTCAAGTTTTCAAGACATCCGTCAACAAAGGAAGACGACCTGCCCTTCACAACATGGCCTCGAAATTCGAACGAAAAATCGAAATAAATAAATAAATAAAAAGTTTAGCATCGCACGTAGTTCATGGACAGGGACGAGACCCACAAATAAAAGATGATTGATTATTATTGTACATTTCGATTCAATTAATGAATTTAATGCTGATACTAAATGGCTGAATAGTTGCTATAGAATCTACAGACAAATCTCGTCCATATAGTCAAGAAGAGGGGCAGTAGAAACGCTTCTGGCACATGCTTCAACAGATGCAAACATGCTTCAACAGTGAATGGTGAAAACAGCGGCAATCGACTGCTTCTCGCACATGCTTCAACAGATATAAACATCATTACATGCATTGTTCTCAGTAGAAACGCGCATATTCCCCGAGTCCCCGACACGTTTCGGCCAGGCTGTGCTCCTGGCACTCCTCCCGGGGAAGAACAAGAATAGAATAAAGAAGAGCGAGGACCACACACTGTGTCCATGGATAGAAAGCTCATAAAACAGTTTCTTCACAGTCATTGACACGCACATGAGTGAAGAATAACTCGTGTAACTCTCACGGCTAAGAAGAAGAAGAAGAAGAAGAAGAAGAAGAAGAAGAAGAAGAAGAATGGAGGAGGACGTCGAATAAGGATACGCTCTTGCCAGACCCATTTGGACCGACGATGGCGGTGAAGTTTTTCAGGGGTCCCACGATGACCTCATCCCTGTAGCTCTTAAACCCTTTGATTCGCAGTTGATAAACCCTCATTCGACTTCTTATCTGCAATGATTTCGCGGGATGGCCCTCTAACAGGACCCCATGACCTTGTGCCTGCTCCTTCTTCGCCAGTGGAATATCGCGTCCCTTCTTGTCCACTTCACAGTCCGCACTTAAACCCTCGACGCCCTCCGCCTTCATCCGTGCAATTGGCGGCGATTGGCACTGCCCCTTCTTGCCCGGCTCTGTGTCTGCTGCTGTGGCCCCCTCCTCCTCCTCCTCCTCCTTCTCCTCCCGTTTCGTCTTCTCCTCCTCTACCTCGACTCTTCGTCTCTTCTCCGCGTACACAGAGAATCTGCGGTCAGTATTCAACCCCTCCGTCTGGCGATCGATTCCTGAGATCAGTGAGATGGGAGGTTGGCCTACCCCATCTGGACCAGCAGCCTCCATGCCAGCGACCACCTGCATATCCTCCTTGTCCTCCTTGTCCTCCTTTCTCCCCCTTTCTCCCTCTACCTCCATCCTTTGCCGTTGATTCCGGTAGTCAGGAGCGTCAGCATCCAACAACTTCAACTCCCCTCCCGATCGATTGGTCGATTGGATCGTTGAAGCAGCAGCCCATTTCTTTTTTTTTCTTTTTTCTTTTTTTTAAGGGCCCAGTGCCCAAGGCTGATATTATCAAGTAAAGCAGCAGCCCATTTCTAGCAGGCTCTTGTTTTTTTTTTTTTTTTTTTTTTTTTCCACACTCAGCCCCTTCTATTCTGGGGGGCACCAGTCCGGTTGCTTATCACCGGCAAGCGAAATGATCATGTTTTTGCACAAAAGAACAATAAGGGAATGTGAAGTGACGGCCACGAGCCACCCGGAGACTCCCCTTGGTACCCAGACCTCGCTCACCACTCCGTTACCTCCCACCCCACGACCATATCCCCTAACTCACGCTCTTCGTCTACGGCCTCCTGCATCTCCTCCTCCTCCTCCTCGTCCTCATGCTTCATCTCTGCCACCTGCTCCTTCTCTGGCTCCACCCCTTATCCTTCCCTCGGCCTCCCTCGTCCAGAGATTCTCGTTCTTGACCTCGATCCGTTGACCTCCCATCGTCGTCGTTCGTCATTTAATTTACTCCTGGTTCTGTCGAAGATGTATGTATCTACCTCAACTTCCAATCAGGCTATCAGCTTAACTTCAAGTTAAATCAAACAAAGTCAGCTTTATATCAGTATATCAGCTTAACTTTTCAGTTAAATCAAACAAAGTCAGCTTTATATGAGTATATCAGCTTAACTTCCAAGTTAAACCAACCTCAGGTTCTCAGCTTTAAATCACGCTATCAGCTTAATAACTGCAAATAAAATCAAAGTCATCTTGGAATCAGGCTATCAGCTCAAGTTAATCAACGTCAGGTTCAAATCAGGCTTGCCGAAGATGTACGGATCGACGGTTCACCGTGTTGGACATACATCATAACAAGTCTCTTCTGACAGCTTAACTTCCTCGATTCTGCCGAAGTTTACACATTCAAGGCCTGCCGGCATCGAACAGTGAAAGGATCATTGTGCTCGTTCTATACGACGGATCATCGACGGTTCTTAAACTCCGTCGATTATTCCTACCGAAGGAATGTGATACCAGGTCCGCCGATCAGCAGACAGATCATATAGGCTGCTGCGTCTCCTGCTTTCTCTCCTTCTTCCTCCTCCTCCTCCTCCTCCTCCTCCTCCTACTACTACTACTACTACTACTACTACTATTGCTGCCTACTGTTACCGCTCCTCCTCCTCCTCCTCCTCCTACTACTACTACTACTACTACTACGCCTCTACTTCCATCTGTTCTTCTTCATCGGCATGTAGCACCCTGAGCTGCTTGCGGTCTACCTCTATAGCTTGTTCTTTGTGCACCGATTTTGCCGACGACAGAACGATAGCGGGCGGGCCGAATCCAACTTGGTCGGAGTCGACGTTTCTGGCCGTGGATTTTCAGAAACGACGGTCAGAAATCGAGACTTTGTGTAAGTGGGACTGGGTCCCCCGTCCGCTGATCAACAGAACACAAGGATGAAGAGGTCCTTCGTTGTGACCATCGTTCGGCTGTCATCTCTCCTTCCCGCCAGTGCGAGTTTTACATTCTACTTTCTACTTTCAGGACCGTGTCGCCGGCCGTGCGCAACGCTTTCATCTTCGCTCTCATCTGACTCCCAAGCTCTCAAATCCACGTTCATGTCATTCCCTTCGGTTTCCCCCATGCAGACTCTTTCCAGTACCTCAAGTCCTCCGAACGAACGACTTCTGCTCGGTGGATGCACGCCGAGTGAGTTTGATTGAAAAAAAGAGAGAAAAGGAGGAGGGTATAGCGGGAAAAAAAAAAAAAAAGACTGTGACAAACAGGCAAGCGGCCTAGATCGGTTGGTTAGGCAAGCAAGTGGCATTCGGCAGGTCGTGCGTTCAATCTTCACTGACCACCTGCCGCACTCTTGGTGCCAGCCAACTGAGATAGTCGGCTTGCTTCCCCCGTTCAGTATTGCTAGGGTCTTTGGCGATCACAGGTGTGCGCGTGTGTTCGGGTTGTGTGTGGTGTGTGGTGTGTGGTGTGAAGGAGAGTGCTCCCCATATGGGGGAAGTAGATGGGAGGTGCAGCTATTAGCAAAATGCTTGCCTTAGCCGGGCCCCCCACAGGCTGCCCCGCCCTAGGGGGGGGGGCAACATGCATCCCCTTAAATCACCAGTACTTGGCCCAACTATAGCCCAAAAAAATACAGTGCAAACCTTTCTAGTGGGATGAATTTCGACGCTCCTGTAGTGGCCCGTACGTTTCCTAAAATTGTGGCTTGTTACAGGGCGCAACTTCAGGAGAAGTATTGGTGGTTTCCTTCTAAGATGTAGCTATGCTTGCAGGGGTCCCCTGTATGCCATTGGGCTTAGGAGCCCTGCCCCCTGTATGGGCTTAGGAGTAGTGCTAGGTAGGTAGGTAGTGAAAGGTAAATTGAGAGAAGAATATAGCTTGGTAACTAAGGGTCAGATCCCACTACCCTGGATTATTCATTTTTCACCCTCGATTACGAAGATCAACGGTCAGAAATGAACAATAGGGGCTAGTGGGATCTGGCCCTAAGCTTTCCGAAAGGGAAAAAGAAAAAAGACAGCAACAAACGCGACCGTTGTTCACGAGTCATGACTGTAGAAAACTACAACTACACGCTGCATGTGGGTCCCGGCCTCCGGAAAGCACCGCTGTCTTGGCCCGTCCCGCCGGTACCGGCAGCACGGCCGGATCACTTTTCAGTTTACGATCCGGTTTCTCGCGCTTTGTGATCACTTTTCGAGGGCGACCGGCGCCGCTTCCGACTGTGCAAGGGTGGACGTCCAGGGTAGACAGGTCAGACATGTCGTCCTGCTTACGTGGCAGAAAAATTGTCGTCGCCACCCACAGGTGAAGAGCTTCTGATATCGGCCGTCGATAGACAGCCTCTACTCCCTCTTTGTGCAGATTGGCGGTCAACTTCAACTTCCCGCCGGGGAAGAAGGGACGGGATCATGGCGATTGCCACAGCGCGTGTGGAGAATGCCCTCTACCAACGATGCGGGTGTTGTGGCGGCGACACCAAAACCGTAGATCTCAAGGGCGGTGGAGATTCGATGCAATGGCCTGCGCGACGGAGATCCTGGGCAGTGGAGAATCTGCAGCAGTTGAGCGATAACTCCCGCTTTGGCAATCACCTCGCCAATCTGAAAATCTGGAAGGGGCGCCGCAATTCCCGCCTCCCCACTCACCGCGCAAATTTTGCACTGCGGAAGGAAACCGCGACGAGCAACCCTCCTCGTGGAAAGCGGAGGACGTCAGCAGCTGCAGAGGGAGCTAGCCTGGCGGCGGGCATAGCAAGCAGAACGAGAATATCAAGGACGATGGCGCCGCCGCCACCGACAATGAGTCGTCCGACGAGTTTCGACCGCCTTGCTATTCTCTGCCGTCCCTATTCTCTGCCGTCAGATCAAGGTTCAAAGGCGCATCCGCGCCTCTGCTGCGGAGGGTGGAGTAGCGTCATGTGGACAAATTGCCGTATTGATTTGTCCTTGGGCCATTCCTCCTGCCGTTACTCTCTCCGCGCGTCTTCCTCTCCTTGGGCCAGCGGCACTTACGCTGCCGTCTGTCCAGGTATGAAGCCTACCGGTAGCTGGGCGTCTCTGCGGCCGTCGCCAAGCTATGGTGGGCATGATGACTTTAACGTTGTGAGCGTGAGAGTGGAAAGCACACGTGGCGCAGACTCGTCGGGTTCAGATGGGCACACAAGGCACATAAGGCGCAGGAGAAGAGAGAGTGGAAAGCTCACATGGAGGCGTGTGGACGCCCTGCAAGTCGCTCCCAATGAACCGTTACTCGAGGACTTGATGATGGATGACCAGAATGAAGAGAGTCGCAATTGGGTAGGAAATTCAGATCAGCAGCGGACGGAGAACAGATTGGTTCTTGGTGAGAAGACATTGCAGATCAACAAAGCAGGTGAGCTGCTCGACGCCCTAATGTGGTTTCAATGCTCCTAAAGTGTGGTATGCCCTAAAATGTGCTTTCCGTGTCCCAATATGCTTTTCAAAATCTAGATCTTCAGATGACCTCAGAGCCAAGAAGGAAAATTTTTATGTCGATTCTCGTTCTGGGAAAAAAAAAGAAGAAAATCGAAATTCAAGCTCACCAACAGCGATCTGGAATCGTTGTCGCAAACTTCCAGCGTTTCAAGTATCTGTATTTATTCTATATGAGTACATATATATCATGTATTTATATGTATCGTCAAACAGAGCTGTATATATGAGTATATCGTCAAACAGAGCTGTATATATGAGTACATATATATGAGTATATCGTCAAACAGAGCTGTATATATGAGTACATATATACGGCTCTGTTTGACGATACATATAAATACATGATATATATGTACTCATATTGAAACGCTGGAAGTTTGCGACAACGATTCCAGATCGCTGTTGGTGAGCTTGAATTTCGATTTTCTTCTTTTTTTTTCCCAAAACGAGAATCGACATAAAAATTTTCCTTCTTGGCTCTGAGGTCATCTGAAGATCTAGATTTTGAAAAGCGTATTGGGGCACGATATACATATATATGGGCAGTTCTGTTTGTGACGATATATATAATTCATTTTATTTTCTTTTTTTCTTTTTTCTTTTTTTCGCTTTTGCGCTCTGATATTCATGTGACGATATATAGATCACACATGCGTCTCGAGGAGTTAAAAAGTTGAGTGACATCGGAGGTGGCTACTCATTCAATCGCAGAGAAGAGGAGGGGGAGATGAACGAGGAGAAGGATCATTCAATAGCAGACAAGAGGAGAGGGGGTGAACGAGGAGAAGGAAACGCAGGAGAGGAAGTAAGGGGAGGACCACGAGACGCACAGATTCCCGCAAGAAAGATACCTTCTTGGAACTGCTTGGAACTGCTCGCAGTGCCGCTGGTACGCCAGGGAGGTGGGGCTGATTAAACCATGTGTTAATTGCAAAAATATTGCTTTTTTTTTTTTTTTTTTTTTTTTTTTTTTTGGAAGAATCATTAGCTTTTATTACAAATGAAAGGAGGCCGGGAATTCCTCACAAACAACCCGGAATATTGCTTTTTCGGATTTTCCAAGTATGGCAGCAAAAATGTTGTCCGTTCGAAGTTTCCTTTGCAAAAATAGAGGTTTCGTTGCAGCTTTACCGGGTTCCTATAGTTTGCCAGCAAAAATAAAAATACAGCGTTTTGCCAAGTTTCACAGCAAAGGACCCCTAAGCCTCTGGCCTCAGGTACTCCGGGGGTGTGGTCCCATTAGCAGTCGGATAGGAGTGTGGCCGATCCAGTGTGACAGCGGCCGGACAGGTTCATTACGAATTTCTGGGGTGAGAAAACAGGAGAGGCAAAAAAAAAAAAAGGAAACAGAGACCTCCCACCTGAAATCACGGCAGAGTGCTTCCCAGCCATCAGATCACAAATGATCTGATGGTGGTGGTTGCAACAACAGTGTGCAGAAAGTAACTGCCTCATTTTCTGGAATAAAGTCAACTTCTGTCAGCAGTGATCCTGACGCCCTCCATATACTCCGTGATTGAAGGAGGGCTGCACCCAATGAGATAATTGCACAACAGCAAGCAAAATACTGAAAATCTTCTATCCAGTGGGCCTATGGCCGACCCCGCGCTCTTTTGGGGTTGGCCATGCCCCCAACGGATTGAAAAGATTTTGGCGGGAAACTTCCTTTGCACCGGCATGCCCAGTGTTAAGGAGAGGAGGAGGGGAACGAAGATCTCCTTACTTTTTCGGGTAATACATGTAAAACACTGACCGTGGGATCTCCAGTACTGCAGGGCAGGATTTGGGTCACTCAACTGCCACACAAACTCTTTTCTATCCTAGCCGGTTGCTAGTGGGACCATGCCCCGGGACTCAGCGTTCTGGCCTCAGGTACTCAGGGATGCATCGTTTTTTTTTTTTTTGTGTGGGCATGGCCGAGGCATCTAGGCCGTGGCACAGCCACGCGTCGAGATGCTTTTTTTTTTTTTTTTAATGTTGAGCGTGGCCACGGTCGTGGGGAAAAAAAAAAAAAAAAAGACCGTGGCCGAGGTGGCCGAGACATCTCTGAGATGCCTCGGCCACGCACGCGAGGGAAAAAAAAACAGGTTGAAAAAAAAAAAAAAAACGCTGCATCCCTGAGTACCTGAGGCCAGAACCCTGAGGCCCTGAGTACCTGAGGCCAGAGGCCTTAAGGGTTCTTTGCTGTGAAATTTGGTAAAACGCTGTATTTTTATTTTAGCTGGCAAACTATGGGAACCCGGTAAAGCTGCAACGAAACCTCTATTTTTGCAAAGGAAACTTCGAGCGGACAACATTTTTGCTGCCGAACTTGGAAAAAGCAATATTTTTTTGAAATTAACCCTTGAACCATACAAGTGGTACTGAAAACCCTCATCTTGGCGGTTGATTAACAGAGGAAAGTTGCGAGGGCAGAAGTCTGAAGCTGTCCTTGTGTTTTTCACTCCAATTGCGGTAGCAGGTTCCACTTTCTGATGAGAAATGATAGGAAATCTCTGTTTGCTTCCTTTCGTTGGAGTAATCTCGTGCCGAGGGTTTAGGGTTTGTGCAAGAATCTCTCTCTCTCTCTCTCTCTCTCTCTCTCTCTCTCTCTCTCTCTCTCTCACACACACACACCTTCGCAGTATGAGACACACACACACACACACACACACACACACACACACACACA